TATGTACCCCTTTAATATGTATGTATGGGTTCTTTGTTTTTTGCTGCCGTGAATATATATATATATATATATATATATATATTTATTCAGGATTTCTTTATCCTGTTTTTCTTTGCTATATAATGAAACTATTATCAACTTATATGATTAATAATATATATATATTTTATTGATAAATTGTTTTAAAATATTAAATAATATTATTTTAAACATTTTATCTTTATATATTTGCAATTCAATAAGTGGTTTTTTCTAAATATTTACGGATTTCCTCATGACATTGTGGATGTATGTTTGTGTATATATCTTTATGTATTCAAACATTTAACTCTGTGTGTGTATAAGTGTTAGTTTCCACGTCTTTTTTCGTAAAGGGGCTGTGGGAGTTGTTCATGTTTTCCCCCACCTCTTCCTTTTTTTTTTTTTTTTTTTTTTTAGTGTGTGTGGATATCATCCTTATGTCTGGATGCGTATGTCTTATCCATACGGATTTAAGACCATATTCAGTTTACATGTATTATCAGATGACCGGAAATTGTAATCTTGTCAGACGTAATTTTAATGAAGAAATGAATAATAAACATATATATTTTTTTTTTCTCATTTTGTATAAACTATATATAAATATTTTTAAAATATAATTATTAGTAAAAAATTATTTTTTTATATTACACGTATTTAAAGATCTAAATAGCTATAATAGCAGGATTTTGAATCTTTCTGTACTTCCTTTTTGATTGATTCTAGAATGAGAGAGAGGATCGTTAATTAATCTGAAACTTTTAAAACCATTTAGAACACCATCACTTGATAAGACAGAGTGTTTGAAACAAAATGGCTATTTTTGTAGTGATTTTATAACATACATATATATATATATATATATATATATATATATATATATATATGGGGGGAGATCTGAAAATTTAATGTGCAGAAATACAGAATGAGTATCACAGATAAAGGAGATATGCATTAGAAATAAGGGAACAAACAGGACAGATGACATGCTCATCAACAGGCTGCATAAAATTCAAGGACGGAACGCTCATATTAGAGAAAAAAAAATTCTTCATCACTGGAAAGAATAGATTGGAAAACTCTTCCACGACGAAAGAGAACAACCGGCAATGCACAGAAATATCAACAGACTTGAAATACTAAAAACCGAAGTGGACGCTGCACTGGCCAAATTGAATAGAAACAAAACGGTAAGGCCAGGCGGAATTATAATAGAGATGCTGTCAGTCTGAGATGATTTCGACATAAATGAGATTGCAGAAATAATAAATGAAATCTACAACAGTGGTGACATAACGGATGACCTAAGCAGATCTATTTTCATAGCACTGCCTAAACAATTAGGCGCGCAAATGAATGTGAACTCCACCGAACAATCAGCCTAATGAGCCACATAACAAAACTCATCATCCGAATTCTGATGAATACAGCGCGTTGCAGAATTAGGTCAGAGATAAGACAAAAACCGTGCTGGTTATCAGAAACGCATTACCTATGTTTTATAGACTATGCAAAGACATTCGACAAAGGACGACACAAAGATCTGTTAGAGTTGCTCAGCAACCATGACATATTCGGGAAAGACATTACAATAATCAAAAATCTCTACTGGCAGCAATCCACCGGCATACAGCTAAAAAAATGACTTCAGCAGATATACAAAAATAGAAATGTGTGTAAGGCAAAGATGCGTCTTCTCACCAGACTTACTCAAACGAGGTAATTCTGAAAGAACTGGAAATCCTACCAGAATTCACCCCACAATCTTAGCAACATAAGATATGCAGATGACACAGCACGGATAGCAGACACGGAAAGAAAACTACAAAACCTCCTACAGAAGGTAGCTAAGGAAAGCGAGAAGAAGGGACTAAGCATAAATTAGAAGACAGAATGAATAATCATCAGCAAAAAGATGAGTCCAAAATGCAATTTACGGGTCGTGGATACTAAAATGAAGCAGGTACACTAATTTAAATATCTGAGAAGTGTACTAACAAAGGACGGAAAGTGCAATACTGAGATCGGAAGATGTATTGGGGTGACCAAAGACGAGACGCCTTCTAAAAGCTAAGCAGAGTATTAAGAGACAGGAAAGTTTCTTTGGAAACAAAGAAAAGAGTACCGAACAGTTACGTGTTATCTGTCTTCCTGTATGGCAGAGAATTCTGGACAATCTCCTGAAAGACTCGAAGCAACAGAAATATGGTTCTACAGAAGGATGCTTAGGATACTATGGATCGAATATGTGAGCAACGACGAGGTTTTGGAAAGAATCGAAACAAAGAGGAAACTTATATGTAACACATAACATAATTAAGCAGCTGAAATTTCTGGAACATCTTATGCGGAGGGAGGGCTTGGAAAATCTGATACTCACAGGACGGATAGAGATATAAAGGGACAGGGAAAGCAACGCGTGATATACTTAATGGACTTAAACTAGTGGATGGTGGAACAGGGTCTGGGCGATATAACA